AGCAGGTGGGGCACATGAACATACGCCAATCAAGGCGTCCAATGAACGTGATGTGATGCGGATCAAATACCCATGAAGACGGATTCACCTCTGGCTGCCTATGACCTTCGAATAGGGCCAAGCTCCGAAGTCTAGATTGTGCACAAAAAGATAGACGTAAGCAAGAGAACAGCAACAGTAGAAAATATATGCCCAAGATAGAATTATGCCCAAATATAGGCAAAATGAAACCACAAGATCAGAGCTCAAGATGCATCAAGCGGAAGAAATTTGTCATTGAAAAAGCCCCTATTTTTGACACTTTCCTATACATACATAAATTCAAAAAGCTTACCTACGAAACAACAAAGGCAATTACAATTTGAGCACATCAACAGCCGTTGCTATGCTCAGAAATTAAAGTATAGAACTAATATGCAATACGTGGTTGGCAATTAGGAGCACATATAAATTTGATTAGAATTAGTTCACACCTCGTTTTCAGTTTAATTGGATTTTCAAAAAGACTCCGAAAAACGCTTCCTGTACTGTGTCTCTCTCGTAGATCTTGTGTTCTTCCTACATCCCCAGAGCCTTCGCCGACATCATAGCCACCGTTATCACTGAGAAGCTCAATTCTTATAAGCAAGCTAAATTGCGTCAATGACAAGTCACTTGATGCAGTACGCAATACGTCCTTTAAAATTCCATCGAAAAAAAAGTATATCGAAATCCCAAGAAAAATGATGTTTACCTTTGGCCAAAATGCATTAACAAAAAGTTAAAGCTATTTGCTCGATTTTTCAAGACTAGGTGATTGAGATTATATTTTTTTTAAATTTCATTTGAAAGTAATAAGAGCGTTAACAGTAAAACTAAAAAAATATATTAGGTAACTAAGCAATGAAGGAACATTTACAGTAGGTGGATAGCAATATCTTGCAGACCCATTTTCCGATTTATGGTTGAACCATCTCCACTTCCTAAAAAGTTTTAAGCCAAAAGTAGATAGTGACGGATGTAGAGCTGCCACAATTCAATCTAGAAGTTGCATATAATTTTTAGCGGAAACGTATCCTTCAATGATAATTCCTCAGGTGTTAAGATTGCCTTATTGACCTGTGGATAGCGTTCCTCTCAAACATGTAATCAATCTAAAGTGTAAGGTATATTCGAGTTTGCTTGAACAAAATAAGATTTAATGAAAGCATAGAGAGCTTACTGACCGATATAGGATAGCCACTGAGAGGAAGTAAACCAAAGAAAGGCTAAGGAAAGAAATTAAATGATTTAGAATACTTCAGAGCCTAACAGGACTCTTTAAGCTACAGTAACGTCAGGGCCAACAATGAATAGCATATGATATGCAAGCATAGTAATATCTCAATCCCACCATGATCTGTGCTACCACAGTTATTTTATTTTAATGAGAAGCCGCCGCAAAACAGGATTATCGAGCATATCGAGGCTCAGATAGGAAATTCACTTCATAATTTGTAACTCAGGCCAACCGCGCTCATGATGTTGGAAAATAATGAGCGAAAAATGTTTAGGTTCTTGAGGTTAGTATGACAGTCTAGCTGAAATAAGTTGCTATAAGGGAGGAAATGAGTAAATTCCTTTCATAAAGACGTTGGAAGAGGAGCTATGGCGATGGGAAAGTTACGATCAGCATAACTAGTCTTAGCGAATAATCAGATACATTGTATGCCAAGGCGCTTCTGAAGAGCGTGGCTCGGAGATATTTCTGACTGAGGCGGATTTGTAGTTTCCAAACGAAGCCTTGGAAATGCTTAGCAAAAGCGATGGTTGAAACCCAATGCAAAGTGATTTCTGCAAAATGAAATCCGAAGATCTAGGGTTGGTGAGAAGAAAAAAAGCGAGCGTTCTAACGATAGCTCAATTAACTACGACATTAGGCTTTATTATATTGAGTGTGAAGACTAAACTGGCGTGATCTCTTGTACATTTTTTTGCAGCAACTTAGTCATATTTCCTCCAAAGAGTCTTACATTCTATCTACTTTTGTCGAAACCCAGCTACTCTTCATATCTATTTATATATTACTTGAGCTTGCGTTTAGGATCCAATTACTAAATGATGCATCTATAAAATTTTATAGAGAAAAAGTGCAACCAGTCGAAGCGAAATGTAGCAAATTTCAGAGAAATGCTAATTTCACTAATAATGCCAAGTACGATGGTCACGAAACTGAGCAGTGTAAATTATATGAGACAAGATAAGTAAATCTTGAATACGAGTTCCACATGATAAATGTGGTATTGAAGAAGCCTGGCTTTCCTTAAAATTCACGTCTTAACTATAAACTAAGAGCCCTCGTGACATGATGGCAGTGATACTGCCCTACTCGAGTTCGAGTCCCCTCTGGGAGTGCTGATAAGACCTAGGCGAGGCCTAAACTGCAATCCAGTCCAGTCTGTATGAGAATATCTTTTTGAGAACAAAAACAGGCAGAATTCAATGGAAAAATGAGGCCTACTAATATGATTGTGGAAACTAGAGAAAATGGAATTTTTATTGAAGACTTGAGCAGTAAAACAATGTAAAAGAAAGACAGGCAGACCTGCTGACGAGCATTTCCTAGACGAGGCCAAGACAAGATTACAGTGATGGGATAAAAGATTACTTGCAAAAATTAGAGCAAAACAAGTGCAAAAAATCGCATTCTCGTCAAAATTATGATTTGTTTACTGAGTTTGATGTTTTTTATTGGAGTGTACATAGTGACAGGGATGCTCTACACATTTTAGAATGGTGTTATTTAGACACATTTTTCGAATAGGAAATGTCTTAGTAATAAGGTTATTACTAAAAAATACTTGCTAGTACTGAAATGATAGGTTCCAATCTGAAGAACAGCAAAGGCAAGGCGACGAAATTGTTCAGAAAATCAAACATTAAGAGCAAAGATTTTAAGAGACTTAGGCCTGAGTAGGTGTAAGACAATCCTGGCCTGGAATGAGTTCTAGGTCTGATATTCGGATAAAATAAGAATCCATTAGATACAGTAAGAAGAGTCATTGCTTGGCTGACGAAAATAGTAGCTTGCGAAGAAACATTGTCTAGAAAGAATAAAAAATATCACATATGCCAATGTTGTATGCAAAAGATGATGTCGCAATAAGCGGACAAGCCATCGATAAAACCAAATCTAAGGGCCACACAAGAAGCATGATGGATTCTTGTGATATTAAGTATTCAGCTGAAACAGATAAACCATAAATTTATAACCGTACTATACTTGAACATCAATGAAGAAAGAAAAAGGGTGCCATACTTCATAACTACAAATCAAGAGTTTATACTTTAATAGACTATACGGTTGAAGGCTCCAAATATCGCACCGAGTGATAGTCATATGTAATCGCCGTTAGTAACTTCACTTACTGGTAAAAATGAAAGTATACGTGAAATGACCAAAATGCTGCCATAGTAGTTCACATGTTGCCTGAAAATCGAAGTGCTTACAGCGTATTTAAGCTCGAGTAAAAGTAGTGGATGCGCTCTGATGAAACGAAGACTCACAAATTCCAATCCTTTTCCAAAAATTCTCATCAATTAAGATGCTCTTTAAAAAAGTCCTAATAACAATGCAGTTTTATTACAACAATATAGCATTTGAAAGTGAGGAATCATTCTGAAGCAGCTCGGCGTATGGAGATAAATGAAAACTAAAGGGCATTTTCTGATAGGACATTAAATAGGGACGCTCTGACTGTAATCAGACGAAGCAAAGAGGATGTAAATGCTATGAAATCAAGTAATATGCAGATACGCATTTATACGTATCCTATTAAAAGGAAGGAAGTTTTAGGCATTAGTTCGTTACTGGAGGCCTCGTAGAGCCCCTGTATAAGCCAAGGAGACTACGCATGAGTAATGGCAAGACGAAAGATAAAGCCACTGTACCAGTAGCCCTAGACTTCGCAAAACGGCAACGTGCCCTAGGCAAGAGTACAAGGCAAGAGAGATCGGTCATGCTCGAGCAGGTTGATCTGCTTCGTCTACAGAATTAGACCAAACGATTGACAAGTAAATTGTGATACTGGGGACACAGAATACAAAGTCATTCAAATAAAAAGAGATGGGTGAAAAAAAAGAGCCGACTAACCCTAGATACCACTATAGTTTCTAATAGGTTTCACTACCTACACTTCTGATAAGACAGAAGAAGTGAGAAAAGAATATATAGCAGAGCAAAATGAATTAAAGGGAGGGAAGATAAGAAACTAGAGCAGAAGCAGATTTTAAAAATAAACACGTATTAATTATAAACATATCAATACAAAAGCTCTGAATCAGATCGTACCTATTAAAAAGAGTCTACGCGACACGAACCAAATTTTTCTAAATAAATTCTCATATCAAACATGAACCATTGCTTATGAGACAAAGAGCAGATATGCCCAAAGATTGAAGTGTATGTTCGGAGATAACAATGGTAACTATGAGAGCATAAATAAAAGAAGCCCGTGAACGGCATCTGAAGCCGGTGCTGAAGGTAATTAATCTCAACTAAATCCACTTAAGGCCACACACTCTTAAGCAACATCGGAAGAAATGAGAACACATTGGTGTGAATAGGTAACTTGCCATACGGTGGGGTTGAAATAACGAGATGCAGCACTAGAATGTATGACAAAAAATAGGAGTGGGGAGTGATGCAAGAACGGGTGAACAGAAAATTGGTTGAGAGGATTGTCGCTACCTGTCACTTTACAAGTTGTAACTCTGTCCTAACGATGTCGATAAATATGACGGCTAAAAGTTTGGGGATGTACCAAGTTAACGATCCGATTCTGGAAAGTATCACGAATACTACTGCCAGACAACGCACTGATTACAGCAGACCAAAGAAGACAATAGAAAGTCAAGCTTGTCTTTTGAACTTGCTTAATAGTTATAGACGTTAAGACATCCCTCTCAATTTTTGCTATTTGATGAGA